CAATATCCAGCAATCTTGACCTCGCGCTTGATCAGCAACGCACAAGTATCCGATCTCTGTAGTTTAGTGGTAGAGATTCAGAATGTCCAGTCTTAAATTATAGGGTCCTATTGCCCTGGGGACGCAGATCTTTTCTGTGTGACAAAATGAATGAGATGTATTTGTATTAACTGAAAGACCTCAAAGTTTTCGGATGTTCTTACACTATGACACAATTATTCCTGAAAAGCGCGTCAGAAATGAGATGGTAAAGAGTCAGAGAATACGTTTAAAATGTTGCTAATACATTAACAAGCATCTTTTTTCCTGAAAGCTGATATTTTGCTTTTTCTCTCATGATTACACAGTTCCTCCAAGACCCAAGCCTCCGGCCCCAGGTAACGTGCAGTGTCTTTAAATGCTCTTTTCTGAGGGAAATAGTAACTTATGTCACTGGGCGCTAAATAATTTTTCTCCCTTTGAAACTAGAAAAGAAGTCATTGATATTTTATTTCAAATCATCTGAATTCATTTTTTCCTCTTCGTCTTCAGAAGTTTGCAAGGACAATGCAAAAGAATGTGCAGCCCATAAAAGTGCAACATACTGCAAAACCGATCATGCAGGAGTAGACTGTCGCAAGACTTGCGAACTTTGCTTTGGTCCAGTAAGTACAGAGCTTATGTTTCGGAAAAAAATTCTGCTGGAATTCCCAGGTTTATGCGAAAATAAATTTCCTCGACTCTTTTTTCCTTTTCAAATCATTGCAGGGCTTGACGGGGAAAAAGAAGTGAACAGGCAAGGAGATTACATCTTGACACTGCCAAAAATCGCATTTAATTAACTGTAATGAGAGTCTGAAAACTTTGTTCAAACTTTAGAAATGGAGGGTCAAGTATCAGGAAAATGCTTTTAAAAGGGGATCAAAGTTGTATAACACTGCTTAAGTTAAACTGAATAAAAAGATAAAAAAAAATGAGATGGAACTGATAGCTTTAATTGTATTACGGAACGGTGAACTCGTTTAGAACAGACCTGTTGCCTTTATCGTGCAATGTACGCGGTCCAGATACAAATACAGATCTTTATTGAAGCGTCCTAAATGGGTTTTTCACCATCGATACAAATGCTCAAAAGAAATAGAACAGAAGTTAAAAGATATGGTTTCGTGATAAACCTTAAAATGAATTGTTTCCCCTAACTCCTTTATTTCCTTTATCCTTTTCTCTTCTTTTTCTTCTTTTTCCTCTTTTTCGTCTTTTTCGTCTAAACGCAACAACCTACTGCACCTTCTTATATAATTCCTTACAATCTTGCTGGAAGATTCTACAGATTTACAACACGACTCTTTTAGTAACATTACACCATAGAATTTTCCAGAATTTACGGTAAACAACTCGAGTTTCTATATATAGACGTCACGTACTCATGTCGAAACCACTAGAACTTTCCTAAAGGACTAATCAA